TATTGTGCCCCCACGCACTTAAATTTAGCTGATTTATTTCAACCGTGTATTCCAACATCCTCTATTTGAGCTCTTTCTTTTTTAAAAAATTATTATCTTGGAGGTTTGAGAGAGGTTTGTATATACAATCGTGGTTTATGTTTGTAAACCTCAAACCTCTTGTCTATAATAGAAAACCTCAAGCTTTAAATTTTTAAACCTCATTCAAAATCCACTATCTCTAAGAGCCCCTCTTTTACCCTATCATTTTACTATCCTTTCATAGGACTTGTCAAACCTCATTAAGCGAGCTACTCTTGACCACTCCTTTTAGGGGTCAAAATCAGCAAACATTCTCCATCCATTATCCATCTTCTCTTTGTTGATGACAAAGGTCTAAGAATAAGAAGGTCTAAAAAAGAAACATTCAAATTTATCTTAGAAATTGGAAGAATAGGTTTTGGGAAATTTACATATGTACTTAACTGATTGCTAAATAATTGTAAAGATACGAAACAAAAAAATTATTTGCACATCTACCTAATCTAACATAAATATTTAAATAAATACTACATATTAAAGACATTCTCTCTCCTCTCATTTATCTACTCTAAAATTCTCCTTATTTATACACTCCAATTCATTCTGTTTTCCTTCTCCGTTATTTTCTCTCCTCTCTCCTCTCTCCTCTCTTCTATCTTTATTATTTCATTCCTTTAAATTTTAATGATCTCTTCATGTAAATTTTTAAATAATCTTTTTAACTAAAATTTTCTAGTTTATTATAGGTTTATAAACCAATAAGAGAATAAATAAATTATGAAAAAACATCAAGAAGTCAGAATTACATTCACGCAAAATATATACATAATATATACATAAGATATACAAAAAAATATATAAGTCCAAAAAATATATAAAATAAACCAGGTAATTTTATCTTTTCGTAATCCTTTTTTGTGTTATTTACATCTCGTGTATTTTCGGTATATTTATAGTATATTTTCTGGTTTAATACATGCAACATACAATATTAGACTTATATACAAAAAAAATATACTCATTATATACGGAGGACATGAATACAAAAACACGAGATAAATCAATCTTGTCATTATATACAAAATATATACAATTGTATATATTGTGTTTGTAGTCAATATATAATAAAAAAATTAAATATGGGCCAAATGAGAAACACGCCAACAAAAATATATACTGAACATATACCGTCTATATACGCAACATATACTGCAAAAAAAAAAAAAAAAAAAAAATCTCTCCCTTTTATTTATTGTCCCTATAAGCACGCCATCAATGGCCATATCCTCACGGAGCATCATCGGTAGCAACAGCCACATAGATCAGGGGCATTACCAGGGCGGAGTTCATCTTCGTCGCCACTCGGATAAAGCCCGACACTCTGAACCTTGTTGTCGGTCGAATCGATGGTCTCCGTTGCAAAATCTATATTTATGCTCTGCAAATTGAATCGATTAACTAAATTAAAATAAATTAATCTATCACATAATATCATAATATATCTGGGAAGTGATGTGCGGACATGTCTGGAAGTGAAGGCCGAGTAGACATGTTCATCATCAGTATCCTCTAATTTTGTGGTCGTCAGTACCATTTATCGAAAACAATTATTAGTTAAGGAGAAAAGATAAAGTCTAATAGATCATCATCATATATATATGTGCATTTGGGATGTGTGTGAATATAATATGTGCCACGTGTGCTTGTGAAGGACTGAGAAGCATACACGTAGAGGAGATAATTGTTATATGTATAACCGCAAATAAAAATTAATGTGTGCGTATACTTACAAATAAAAAATAATATTGGCATATGTGCAAATAAAGTTGATCTTGATGATAAGTGAAGTAATTTTCTCATAGGTTTTTTAGTGAAGCCAGGGCCAGGGCAGCCTGGGCTACGGCCCAGGGCCCAACTGAAAAGAGGGGCACCATGTGCTAGGCCCACTATGCTATATATATAGTATATATTGTATATATATTTGTGTACGTAGATATTGCACCTAATCTCTGACTCTCTTTTTACTCTTTAATTAAAATTAATTAATTAGTCTTTAATTTATAGTGTCGCACGCCTGCACCTATGGCCGATTTGTTTTCCTCCAATCTCGAAAAAATGCCTCAAATCTTGAGAATTTCTTTTCCCAAATGGCTAACACCAACAATCCAGCTTCTAATTCTTTTAAAGATTATAAATGGCCTTTTCAATCTTTGTTTTCATATTTACATTCAAATTTCAATTGAATCTTTTCTTTATTTTGGGAAAAATTGTTCAGTTTAAATCCTTTGAGGCTTGAGCTAGAGAGCCGTCATTAGAAATTTAACATACTTCCGGATTCTGACTATGTCGTGGATGAAAAATATGCTATCCGCTCGTTGACTACCTCGCCGGCGCAGCCTGGCTCGCCGTCAGCCAAAATCGGGCCTAATGTCATCACTGTCAGCGCCTTCCGTCTTGCCGCACGCAGCCACTTTGGCTTTCCTCGTAGCCTTCTCCTCCACCTTCGCCCTACTGCCCGAGGCCCCGATGGACGGTTATTCTCTGTAGATTATTGTTGACAACGAAGGTAAAATGCTAAACAATAAACTTTAAATAGTTTGAGTGGTTAATTAATGATTGGTCGTTTTTTTTTTTTTTTTAACATTCTTTGTTAATCAGTTGTTTCTTTAGATTTTAAAGCTTTTAGTGATTCTTTTGAGTACCAATGATTTTAAAAGATATGAAAAAGATTTAAAAGGCCATTTGATTTAGTGATTTATTTGTTTGCTTATATTGTTTAAAAGTTATTGAGTAAAGATTTATTTGGTTGCTTATATTGTTTAAGAATGATTGACTACTTATTTAGTGATTTTGTTTGTTTGGTTATAATTTTTAGCGGTAAGAAGAAGATCGTAAAATTTAAATTATGTGTGATAAACAAGTATGTGGTAATTCTGCGTAATATTCTATAAATTATAATTTATAAGGTTGTAATATTTTGTAAATTATAATTTTTATTTTTAATATAAAAAGAATGTTAGATCGTTGTTGGTAATAATTAAAATATGTATATGTATTGTTATATTTCTTTAAAAAAAGAAAAAACTAAGTACTTAGGGGCATTATTTTTATATTTGGCCCAGGGCCTAATAATTTTCAGGACCGGCTCTGAGTGAGGCAGAGAAGGAACTCTCATAAAAAACAGCTATTGGAGTTATGCCTACTCATGTTGTGTCATGTTTAAATATCTTGGCTGCGTGTAAAAAAAATTTGCAGGTTAACAATTTTTTTGTGACGATTGAATGATGATGGCAAAAGAAAATTTCACTAGGCCTCTTGGGACAAACCGGCAAAGCCTAGAGAGGATAAAGGGCTTGGGTTTAAATTAAAACCAATATTCTTATAATGAGGCTTTCATAGTCAACAACTAGAAGGATTATCTCCAAACCTAAGACAATTTGTGAAGTCTGTTTATAAGACAATTGTTAGTTGCATGAGAGGTGTGCTTAAAAAACATGAATCAAGCAAGAACAAAAAAAAAAAAAAAAAAAAAAAAAAAAAAAAAAAAAAAAAAAAAAAAAAAAAAAAAAAAACACTTGGTCCCACTTGGTGAAAAATAAATTCAAGAACTTCTTATGGGGGTGTTGGCACAATTTTCGGCACTTTTGATCAGCTTGAGAATAATGGATTCAGTGCAGATACATTCTATAATTTATGTGGTATAGACAAAGGAGACCTCGAGCATCTTTTCGTCAAATATCGCAGGTCCTAAAGGTGTGGAAGCTTGTTGGTATTGATTGGTATAGGACTACAAAACTCAACTCACTTCTTCAAGACTTGGTGGTCAAATTTGTCTTATACAGATGCATGAAAGATAACATTACGTACGCTGCAGGTTATGGAAAACCATATACAATTGTGTTTTTAGCGAAATTTGGAGATGTGAGCAGGAAGTGGTTGTGGGAGTTAGAAAGGAAATGTTAGATTTTGAAGGGGCAAACTGAAATGCTGCTAAAGAGGGGAGTTTGCTGGTGGTGAGGACTTTGAACAATTTAAAAAAAGCTTATGCTAAAAAGGTAGGACAACTTCTTGTATATGTTAGTTCATGTTTTTCTTCTACTGGTTTACAATGTGGGGAATAGCCTATGGGTATGGATTGAAGCTCGACTCATGGGTATTTCTGGTGAGAATGGTAACTGATCCAGTTGAAGGTCCTCTGCTCGTTGCGCTTGGACTGGAGAAATATCATCAACTACATTTGAAGGAACCTGGAATTGATGATAGATGCTAAAGATATTATTGATCTCTTAATCAACAAAGGTAGTCTATGTGGCAAAGAGATTTGATAGCTAACGAAATCTATCTCCCGCAGTCGAATTATAGCTAACAAAGTTAATCTATGTAAAACTAATTAGCCATTTGTAATTATGTGTTTACATTAATGGATTCTATCGTTGCAAAAAACACGAAAGAATTGAATTTTACTAGTTGTATTTTGGTCTGCAATAAAACTTTGTTCCGAGAGCTTATTTACAGGGGAAAAATAACCGTTAGTTTTCCCCCTACTTTGCATGTCTACTGTGATGTAGATAGGGTGCTTAACTGCTTATAACCAGTTGTTCGGCCATTTTGTACTCCCTTGATTGTGTTCTTTATCATATTCAACGATATGTTAAAAAAAAATAAAAAAAAAAAAAAATAGATAAATAAAAAATAAAATGAAATGTGACTCGTAATATGGTTTTCCAACTACTTCTTTTGGAGGGAAAATAAGCTTTAGTTGCACAAATATCATAAAAATTGCAGTCACGCTTGCCTTTTGCTGTCTCATTCACTCGAGTTCCATTTTACAACTTTGTCTAATCCAAATTGTGATATTTTCATGAGAACGTCTTAAAATACACGATTCATGCTACATGAACTTCATAACTTCCCCTATTTTAGATGTGAATCGAAAACCAAAGTTCGTATCAGTGAGTACAAAAATTTCCTCTTCTCTATCAGCTGTCATGCACTTCTCTTTTCGGCAGTAAATCTCCTCTCCGGAATCTGAAGTTAAACCTAATACGACCTGTAAAAATGAGCAAACAAACACGAAAACAGTAAACCATAGGAAACTGCCTGCCACAAAAAATTCCTAGTAAATTTTACCCACAGATATATATATAGTTTGCCAACGGTGACTAAATTTACCACTAGATCTTGAAAACAACTTCAAAATCTCATCAATGATTATTACCTGCAGGAGAAAGATTTAAGTTAAACGTGAAAATACATTTACATAGAAAACAAATATTGTACGAAAATGTAATCAGAGAATGAGGGATCGTGACGAAAATTGCTTCAATGGTCATGGATTGGAATCAGTTTTCAAAAGATGGGGTAAATGTAAGGCAGTACCAAACCTCAAGTGGTTTTTTTTTGTAAAATAAAAACTTTTTTGGAGTTTTGATGCTATACCCGATAACTTTTAAGGATAGAATTTGTTTATACCCATAACATACTCAAAAGAATTCTTATTCTCCACTCATTTTTTAATAGAGCGTATACTTACTGGAAAAGAAAGATACAGTACGACAGTCCATTCAGCCCAGCTTAGTGGCGCCACCTACACAAAAGAAAAATAATAAAATAAAATAAAATAAAATGACAAAATTTAGTGTCCAAGAAAAAAAAACATTCTTTTTGGATGCCAAAAGGATGTAAACTGAAAACAGCTTTTGAAAAGGTGGAGAATAAACAACTTACAGAGAAAAGAAGAGAGAGTGGTTCCACATATAGGATAAGTACATGAAGCATCATTGTAAGGGCAATCGACCCAAGAAGCCACAAATTACTCCAGGGAGGGATGACTCTACAAGTGGTTGAAACAAAGAGACTTCAAATCATGTAATTGTCCATTCTTTCAATATTACTACATACAACTCTACTCAATCAGCTGTGTCCAAACTTGATTTGGAGCCGAGTGAATGTAACTATTGCCAAAATGTCTCAGATCAGATGAATAAGCAAAACAATGCATTCATCCATCTAAAATAAATTTCGTATTCAACTACTTAACTTCACAAGGTTTTAAAATCAAAAGGGGAAAAAAAAGAAAAGTGATCACCGTTTTGCTGTAATAGCTAATGTATTCTACAGAATGAAGTTTATGCATGTAGTGTGCTCACATGAGTGATTGATTTTCACTGAGGTTGTTCAGTGCGTTGAACATCTCAACAACAACAAGTACAGTCATCGAAACAGTTGACGGATGACGATCACTGAAAACAGCACAAGAATAAGTTGTTTCCCTCGTTGAGCAACTGTCGAAATTCATCTGAAGAATCGTAGTAGGATTGTTAACGTGAGGGAAAAATAAGAATCAAAGGTACATAAATATCACATTGAAAGAACACATCAAGATAGTGACAGGCCTATCAATCATAATATATTGACCACATGAACCAGTGTTGAGGAAAATATAAGATCTTGAAGGGAACCATGAATCATGATAAATTTGACAATTAGAAAGGCCACTTTTTCATTAACCAAACACCACCAGGTTGCCTGAGACTTGCCAGTTCAGTGTACGGCAGTTTAGGCCCATTGTCAGAATATAGAAACCACCACACAAATCCAGCAATAGTAGCAAGCCCAACGTAAACTGCAAAAACATAGTTGTGAGCAATAAGAAAGCACATTTCTTCAAGCAACTTTCAGTTCTAAAATCTAGGTCAGCAAAGAGTCGAAGACAGGCTAATACTTTTCCACAAAAATTCCGTAAACAGAAACAAAACACATGAATTTGTTTATTAGAATATGTACAGATGATTTTTCGTTTGTGTATCTACAACAGGAAAACGAGATGCAAAGATCTGAGTGTAACATTTACGAGGAATACTTTTGAATTTTTCTCTCGACTGAGAGTGTTCTTCTCCGTGGGGAGTGTTTATCTTCGGGAATCGAAGGTTAGGTCCTAGTGTGGTGTTATTTTGCTGTTTTTCTGACGGCGCAGTTGTGTTGAATGGCGGAGGAAATAGAGCAAAGATTAGGGCAAGTTTCAATTGCCGAAGCAGAAAAGCTAATAATCGATATTGAGGAGCGTGATGTTCGCTTCAGAGGGGAGGAATGTAGTAGAAGTCTGTTTGGGAAGGTGGTGGGAGAGAAGAAAGCCAACTGGTTGGGGATTAGGAGAACGATGGGGCTGTTATGGAGAATGGGGAACAATCTGGAGGTTCGGGAACTCAACCCTAATTATTTTCAATTTTTGTTCCCGAATAGAGAGGCTATGCTAAGAGTAGACATGGAGAGAAGCTGGATCTTCGAAAATCAGTATCTGTTGTTGCACCATTGGCAAGATGGTTTATCGGAGAACCATCCCATCTTTGGGGAAATTATTCTTTGGGTACAGGTTCATGGGGTCCCGATCAACTGGCTGAGCATTGATGTTGGCACGAAAATAGGCAGAGCTTTCAGAGACATTAAGAACGTTAATATAGCAAGGGCTGGGATGCAAGGAGGAAGAGTGCTCAGACTTCAGGTAAAACTTGACTTGAAGGAACCTCTGCCAAGATGGTCTTCAATACGTCTGGGAGAACAAATTGTAACAGTGCAGTTCAAGTATGAGAAAATTGTAAGTCTATGCTACTATTGTGGGAAATTAGGCCATGTTGATAAAAATTGTTCCCAAATGAAGAAGGATATAGCTAAGAAGGAACCGAAGGTGGGACAGTATGGTGATTGGATGCGAGCTGCTGGTGATCCATCAACTAATCGGCCATCAGTGCCATTCACTTCTTCAGAACAAAGGGACCAGGATCAAAGCCAGAATGTGAATGAATCGATGGAAGGAGATAACTTACACTTACCAAAATCTCCTACCTCATTTCCTGCCCCTAAGATTATGGCAATGGTGGAATCATCTTCATCGATAGCAGGGGGGGGACAAAGTATTAGGGATGATCATTGAGAAGAGTAATCCTTCTCAACAAATGTCATTGCGCAAAGGGAATGAGTGGAGCCTGAAAATTATTCCAGAGGGTGAGATGTCAATGAAGGAGATCCAAGAGAAAGCAGTACCCCTTGAGCATATCACTGAGAACCAAGCAGAAAAGAAAAAGGAGAAAGTGTGGAGGAGGACAAGCTCCAAGATGGGAAGATTGGCAAGGCAAGATCATCAGAAAAATCACTCTGATATTCCTGCCAGTGCAAGGAAGAGGAGAGGAGATGAAATTACTCTGACTGAGGATGACCAGACCAGGCATGAACAGGCATGAACAGGAAGGCATGAACAGGAAGCTGGGAAGAAGAAGACTAAACTATCAGGTAAAGAGGTGGTGGTAGCCAGCCATAAATGGCCCCAGAGTGATCAATGTTAGCTATGGTGTGGAATTGTAGAGGTTTGGGGGGACCCTCTACAGTTCCCCAAATTCGAGAGGCTATGAGGTCTCACCACCCTAAATTTGTATTCTTATCTGAAACAAAAAAAAAAAAAATAAATAAATAAAATAAAATATTTTTCTGCTTTAGTTTGTAGGAAGCTGGGGTTTGAGGATAGAGTGTGTTTTGTGGATCCTGTGGGTAGTAGGGGAGGGCTGATGTTGGGGTGGGATATAGATGTAACTGTTATTCAAGTGGTCAGTTTTAATTTCTGTATTCAAGTCCAGTATAAGCTTTCTAATGTGGATGAGCCATGTTGGCTTATTTTTGTATATATGAGTACTGAGCTATCTGTTAGATCATCTCAATTACAACAACTTATCAATGACAAAAAATCTTTGGGGTAAAGACTGGTGCATTCTAGGTGATTGGAATGATTTGCATCTGGAGGAGCATAAGCAAGGGGGCAGGCCTAGATCGAGAAGGAGTCTTGTTCCTTTTCAAAGTTTTATTGCCAGTATGGGAATGTCTGAGATCCAAATGGAGGGCTACCAGTTTACTTGGTGCAATAACAGGGATGAGGAAGGGGTAGTAGAAGAAAAGCTGGATAATGCTTTTGGCTCGCTGGGATGGATGACCAGATATCCTAGCACCAAGATGTTCAACCTCTTCAGAAGTGCATCAGATCATGGAATGATTCTCCGACAAGCTGATGTGCCAGAGGTTAAGCATAAGAGGAGGTTCAGGTTTGATAAGAGATGGATAGCAGCTCAGGGAGTGTGGGAGGTTGTGTCTCGGGCTTGGGATCATGTCCAACAGGGTACTACCTTTTGTCAACTGAAAGAGAAAATAAAGGAGACCAGAATGGCTTTATCTTCATGGAAGAAATCTTGTGGATCTAACAGGCAGAAAAAGATCTCAGTTCTTACATTGAAGCTGGAGGATGAGAAAGCTGGGAAATGGGAAGAATTGGGAGGAGTGGGAAAGTTTGAAGAAAGAGTTGGAAGAGGCTCAGTGCTCTGAAGAACTATTTTGGCAGCAAAAATCCAGGAATTTGTGGTTGAAGGAAGGGGATCAATTCCAAAGAAGAAAAAGAAATGCAATCACAAGAATGCTTGATGATAGAAATAGAATGATGGAATCGAAGGAAGAGCTGCAAGCCCATATTTCTTCTTTTTATCAAAAACTCTTCACTTCAGAAGGGTCTAGGGGAGAAGACAGGTTCTTACAACTCATTCCTCAATCAATTACTCCAGAAATGAATGAGGACCTTACAGCAGCAGTAGAAGAAGAAGTAGAAGAAGAGGAGATCAAATCTTCCCTTTTTTCTATGAATCCTTTGAAGGCTCCAAGTGAAGAGGGGATGACCACTTTGTTTTACCAGCATTTCTGGCCAGTAATAAAGAAAGACATGTGTAAGGCTATTCAAAGTTTTTTTCTCTCAGACAGATTCCTCAGGTATTGGAATCATACTCGGATAACCTTAATCCCCAAATGTGAAAATCCCAGCTCTCTTAATCAATATAGACCAATTAGTCTTTGTGCTGTGGTGTACAAGCTTATCTCAAAGATCTTGGCTGATGGATTAAAGAAATGTCTGCAGTTCTGTACTGTATTAGTTCAGCTCAGAGTGCCTTCATTCCAGGAAGGCAATTACTAGACAATGTGATTATAGCACGTGAGAGCTACCATTATTTGAACAGGCATAGAAATGGAAGGCATAGCTTCATGGCCCTGAAGCTGGACATGATGAAAGCGTATGACAGAGTTGAATGGAAATGTTTTTATGCTCTGATGAGTAAAATGGGCTTTGCCAAATTCTTTGTGCGGTGGGTGATGTTCTGTGTGTCAACTGCTACATTCTCTTTTATGCTAAATGGTGAAGCAGTTGGTTTTGTGAAGCCTACTAGAGGATTGAGGCAAGGAGATCCAATATCTCCTTACCTCTTTCTTATAGTTACTGAAGCTTTATCTGTCCTTATTGGTGCTGCAGTTGATCAAGGAGTGTTCAAAGGGCTAAGACTGGCTAGAGGTGGTCCTGTACTAACACACCTCTTGTTTGCAGATGATCTGCTGGTGTTCTGTAAAGCTGAGGTTGAGCAAGCTGTGCTACTCAGGGATATTCCGATTGATTATGAGCTTTTCTCTGGCCAGAGAGTAAATCTTTCTAAGTCTACTGTCTTCTTCAGCAAGAACTCACAGCCTGGTCAAATATTTCCAATGTGCTGGATGGTTTAACTGCTCACAATTCCACTAGATATCTGGGCCTCCCCTTTGGCATTGGAAGATCTAAAAAAGAGACATTTGAGTTTGTTCTTGATTCTGTTAGACAAAGGTTAGTAAGTTGGAAGACAAAATTTCTATCAACAGCTGGTAAAGAGGTCTTAATTAAAGCAGTAATCAATTCCCTCCCAGTATTTGCTATGTCCTGTGTTTTAAGCTCACTGATGGAATTTGCAATGAAATTGCTAGCCTGACAGCTAAATTCTGGTGGAGTAAGGGAGGAAACCAGGAGAAGGGGATTCATTGGAAGAGCTGGAACCTTTTATCATTGCCAAAAGTTGATGGTGGGCTGGGGTTCAAAGACTACAAGCTATTTAATGAAGCATTATTGTTGAAACAGTTGTGGAGAATCAATAACCAGCCTGATTTGCTTGTTTCAAAAGTGATGAAGAGTAAGTATTTCCACAACTCCTCCATCTTCCAGGCTGAGAGGAAAGAATCAGCTTCTTGGATGTAGTCAAATTGGTTGAAGGTGCTCCCATTGTTTAAAACTTTCTGCTGGAAGGAAATCAGATCAGGGAGAAACACCAAAATTAGTGATGGAGGTTGGATTCCTGAAGGAGATGGCACTGCACCTTTGTTTCGGCTGGATAATGATGAAAATCCGATTTGGGTTTGGGAGCTATTGGAGAGCTCAGGCAGAAAATGGAACACAGAGTTGGTGAGGGCCCTTTTCTCTGAACAGGTCAGTGATGCTATTCTTAATATTAAACCCCTTGCAGCAGATAAAGATGATAAATGGGTTTGGGGATTGAACAGAAAAGGAGATTTCTCAGTAGCTGATTCCTATTCATATTTATCATGAGAAAAGGTGAAGCTGGTAGATATAGCTGAGTAGTAACTCGAGGAAAACAGATAGGTAAGAGAGAGGAGTTGGAAATTGAAAGTGAGAGGCAGACTTAAGCACTTCATAGCTGGTGAGAGAGAGGAGTTGGAAATTGAAAGTGAGAGGCAGACTTAAACACTTCATCTGGAAGTGTTGTAATGGAATATTACCAGTTGGGATTAATCTGTTGATTAAGGGAGTAGTAACTGATGCCATATGTCCAGTGTGTGGAGAAACTAAGGAAACCATTGAACACTTGTTTCTCCATTGTCAAAAAGCCAGAAATGTTTGGAAGCTAGCTCCTGTCTCCTGGGATGGGATTGATTGATCTGCAGAGCTTAAATTTCAAATCTTGGTGGTGGCAGGTATGTGCTATTAAGAAATCAGAAATTTCAGAGACTAGGATACAACTTTCAACATACATTCTATGGTGGCTATGGCGATCTCGAAACCTTTGGGTTTAGCAAGGAAAGAGTGCCAGAGACAATTATCTTGAAGAGAGCTATGAGGGAATGGGAAGAATTCAAGGGCTAGGGACTTGAGATAGCTGTTGTTAGTTGGGAGTCATTTTGCTTGTTTTTCATCTTCTGTTGTGTTCAGTTGTTCTTCTTGGAGCAGGTTTCTTTGCTTTGTTTTGTTGGTGTTGTTGTGCTAGTGTTTGGGCAGGGCTTAGCTAGTTGGGCAGAGTTAGTATTGTGTTGTTTTGTTTTCTGGTTGGTGTTAGTTGGTGTAGTCAAGGGTCAGGTGCTTGTACCTGCTTGATACCCTGGGTGGGTTTGTCTAGGCCACTATTTTTAGTGTGTCTCCCAGTTTATTTTTCTACCCGTTGGTAGTCGCGGATGTTATGTACTGTAACTTTTATTTGTAGCTATGAGAATATCCTATCGTTTGAAAAAAAAAATCATTTACGAGGAATATAATTTATCAATATTAATTGCACAGTTGAGAAATTACAACACGGTCATTCTTTAAGTTAGCACGAACAAACTGAGAGGTTTCAATTATATTATTATGCAAGAAACTGCAAAAAACTAAGAAAATAGAAAGAAGCAATTCAGCAAAAACAAAGCAGACGTCCATCAGTACCTCCAATTACTAAATAACGAAAGAACAGCCATCCGGTGACAACAGCTTCATTGACCTGGCATTCATGTGTGACAAAATGATGAAACAACTTTGTTAGTCAGCACAAAAAGAGAGCACATGAGCTATGTAGCACATACAAAAAGAAGCAAACAAGTTGTTAAGAAACGAAACTAGTAAACTGACTCCACAGCATCACGTAAAAAATGTTCCATGATGTGTTCCCTCAGATTAACTGTGTTTAAATTAGAATGAGCATACACCATAAAACACCTTGCGAGGTTTGGCCTTCATAACATCAGAATCTTGTTTATTGAAGCCAATCGCAGTTGCAGGTAGGCCATCTGTTACCAAATTCACCCAAAGCAACTGAACCTGTAACAAAATAAAGATGTGATCCAAGAAATATGAGGGAACATTCTCCCACTCTTGACAAGCAATCTTTAACAATATTAAGGCAAAGCATCAAAAATGTAAAACAACAGATTCACTGATTCACAGTTACTATATATAGGTAGGTTGTGAATGCAACGGCATTTTAACTCACAGGCACAAGTGTGTCAGGAATGCCGAGCAGTGCAGCAACAAAGATGCAAACTACTTCACCAATATTGGAAGAGATCATGTATCTAATGAACTGCTTAGTGTTGTTGTAAATAGCCCTTCCCTCAGCAACAGCCTGATCAGAAAAATCAAAAAAGAGTGGTGTACAGAAAAGCCATAAATGGTGCCAACCACCACCACCACCAAGAAAAGATGCAAAAGATTGAAAGTGAAAGAGAAGGGTAAATCTTACAGCAACTATTGTGGCAAAATTATCGTCAGCCAAAACCATATCTGAAGCACTCTGAAACATCAGAATGTGGATAAAGAAACTAGTTCAGCAAGCATTTCATACACCAATACATTAAATGAAACTCAAAACTAAAATGTCTTGAATTGGCATGATCGTTCAGACCAGTAGATACTTTTAAATGACCTGAAGATTAATTCAAAAAAGGCTATACCTTTGCCACTGCAGTTCCAGATCCCATGGCAATTCCAATGTCTGCTTTCTTCAGAGCAGGTGCATCATTAACTCCATCTCCAGTCATTGCAACCTTAAGAAAGATCAAAATTTGGTAATTAGAGAGCTAAGATGGACTGAAATAATTACTCATAAAGTAGAAATTGAACTACTGTGACCATGTAATCCAATGTTGAAAATGTGGAACAAGTTGCCACAAACCTTTCAGCATTACTATATCCAGGCTAAGCAGTCTTAAACTACCTTGGCTAATTTTTTGCAATAATTGAACATAAGCATAAAAATTTTCAGAAAATAAAAGAGGCTGTGGTAAATTTGTGCACATTTCTGAATTCAAAGTTAGTTTATCTTAATAAATCTTTTGAACTTCTAGAACTGAAGTTGTATCAAAATTTGGATGGAGTTATGTTGTTCCAGTAGATTAGGGTTTGACATAAAACTTTCAAAATTTCAACAAATCGGGTCAACCAAATAATAAAGATTGTAAAAGGGCAGAAGTTAACTCTTAACTAAATGATGAAGATGTTCAACCAACATCAATCGAATTTGAAAATCCCTTATTTCTTTCCATGTGGTAAAAAAGTTTCTTCAGATTTTTCAACTCAAGAGATTACACGGATAGACTAAACAAGCTTGAAGTAACTATAATAAAGTAATTTTTTAGTAATCATACTAACAGCATGAATATTTCATACCAGAAAATGCTCGACGTCTCAGACCAGTCACAATTCAACAAGAACACAATGCAAAAAGAGGAACACAAGAATATTGCATGAGTTGCCACATACGTAACAATCTTGCAGTATAGAATTGAATATCACGAAAATGTGATGACTGCTCCGCAATACATAAAACTGTGCAAAAGTTTACCACTTCATTTTGATGCTGTAATGCTTCAACGAGCATCCTCTTGTGAGATGGTTCCACCCTGGCACAATTTTTTATAATTGCGTAAACAAAGCTATGCTCATAATGAGAACCCTGCAAAGCAACATTGGGCCCTTTCCAAAAGAGAAAAAAGGAACATGCATATAATACCGTGTGAAAATTGACATCCGCTGCAAGGCAATTGTCTTCTGCAATGCAGGAAGGTTCTCAAATTCCGAAGCAGTATAAGAAAGCCCGACAAAATCATCCATGTGATCAAAGGCACCAATTCTTTTGCACAATGATTCTGCAGTGATCTATATGTACATCACAATTCCAAAACAAATGAGTTAGTTTCCTACAGGAAGTTGACAGCTCCAAAGCGGAAATTTCAGAAAGATGGCAATTGAACAAGCGATATCATTGTCTTTACCTTGTTATCTCCAGTAACAACTATGACACGTATCCCAGCAGTCATACAAGAAAGAATAGCATTTCTTACTTCCTCCCTCGGTGGATCAAGCATGCCAACCTTTACATTATCGAATAAATGCGGCGTTAACTAAAAGAACACTCAACTGACAACAAAAGGATTCAACGAAAGCCAAAGTGAAGAGATATGAAGACAGATAATCAACAAAAAAGACCCATTAATAACAGAACAAATTTTAGAACCATCAATATTTTTATAGACAACAATGGCGAAGTAATAAATAAAATAAGCAAGAATAGAGACAATTCAATGTATGGTTCAAACAGAAGAGAAAGCATACCAACCCAATAAATGTAAGATCTTTCTCGTCATCGTACGATAGAGCCTGCTTCCCAAGTGGCATCCTTTTCAAGGCTAAAGCCAAGCATCTTAAAGTTTCTTTTCCTGCAAAACTGACACAGTATCCACATTTAAGACCAATAAATCGCCAGAAACAAGAAAGTTCAAAAACCTCAGTGAAATGGTGATGTGCGGTGATTGGAAGTTATGGTAATATGCAATTATAGAACAAAAAGGCATTGGTGATACTTTTCGCTTCAGATGTAATATCTTCTTTTCACAATTAAATGGTGCCAGAACTTTCTTCAGATACTCTTTTTTAAGTGCATTTTCTCAAATATATGCAAATTTAACAAAGAAAGAGAAATGCTTAGTCGTGAATTATAACCTACCTGTGGAATTTAGAATCTATCTCGGATCTAATTTCTGGCGTTAGACGAACAGTTGAACCATCATTATTGCACATAATGTTTGTGCATCGAGGAAGAATGCTCTCTGGAGCACCTTTTGAGAACATAATTTGTACCTGCTTCCGGTTACAAAGTACACTCATCATCTTTCGATCACGAGTGAAATCCAACACTGAGACCTACAAGCAATGGGCAGAAATATAATAATTAGTCACGTGTGACAGGAATAAGCTATGACAAAAATAATATTAAACTTGCATAAGCATGTTATATAATCCTATTCATAACGAGTATAGAGATCTGTTGCGACTTGATAAAAGTTTAATCGAGTATAACCAGTCTAATTTTCAATAGACTGAACATGAAAATAACAATGACCAAATATTCAATAGAAACTTCTTTTTATTTTAAATTAAGTATCAACACTCCCTTGCCTACAGAATTTTGAATGATTGTCCAGGGCACTCCAGTAACAACTAATAAGTAGAGACGGTCAATCATCTCAAAGAGAATGATCAATGATCCATCTCAAATTTGTCTGTGCCTAATGAAATAGTAAACAGGAATACACCTTTTTGAATTGGTCCTCCCAATACCGATTACAGTATGACGCCCTTTCATGCTTGGACAACATATTAAAAGCCGAAGGCATAGAATCAAAACCAGGAAGCCCAATCTGTGGAATATGATAAAGAGCTCTGACTTTAGGTTACATCAGTGCAAATGAAAATCATAAATGGATTAGCCATGAATAACAGAAAAAGGGATAAAATTAAGCCCCAGCATAATATATTTGTCCAATCAGTAGATAAGACTGTAACCAACCTTTTCTGCCAGTACACGGAGCGCTACTTCGGTCGACTCACCAATCTTTTCATAACTTCTCTTCTCAGGGTTGTACTGAATAACAGACTCGTTACAAAGAGCTGAGCACATTGCAGTATGTAGAAGGCACTGAAAATTCGCTGGAACATCGAGCTGCGCCATATCCCCAGTAAGTCACAATTAAGACAAAAACATATCAACTAAAACAAAATAAAAATAGCATAGTATGACTAGCAAACTTACCTGCACATCTGCAGTATCGTCAAAGATTGTACCTTCAGGAGCATATGTGGTGCCACTGACACTATATTCAGCTACAACAGGAATATCATACGCAGAATGAAGAACAGATACCTGGTAAATGTAAAATAAAATGTTTTACATAATGTTAGTTCATTGTGTTTGCTGATATAGTTTTTCACCAACTCATTATAATGACAATTGTGAAACTCAAAGCAGAATGAAGAACAGATACCTGGTAAACGGTAGAATAAAATATTTTACATAATGTTAGTTCATTGTGTTTGCTGATATAGTTTTTCACCAACTCATTATAATGACAATAGTGAAACTCAAAGCAATTAGTCAGAACAGTTGCACGCACTGATCCAATATTTAAAGTGACAAGGCGATAGGAAGAAAATTATCAGAATAATAAAATTCAGAGGAAAATAACTACAAGAAAATCAGATACCTGAAAACAATAACAGCAATATCAAGTCCTCAACAGAATGAAACTACAAGTGACGACTTAAAGTACTCATAATATAGGCAAATGGGCATTCTGATTTAAAGATGTTGAATTTATTAGATTACCAATAAGCACAAATGTGTAAGCAACACTTTTATTCCCCATTTCTCAACTTCAAGTAAATGTGATACTGAAAAAAACAAAATCTACAACAATGATAAAACAAAAGGAAGAATTCAGATGTGAAAATGAGACCTTTGAGATGGACATCATATTGGTGGTCAGTGTACCAGTCTTGTCACTGCATATCACCGTAGTGCAGCCTAAGGTCTCAACTGATGGCAAAGACCTAACTATGGCATTTAAACGAGCCATCCTTTTTGTTCCAAGAGCTAGACACCTGATGTTGAGGCAAAAGGTTCAAATGTGAATTCTACAAAAACAAAACTGCTGCTTATTGCGACATAAAATCTTAAGGAAAAATTAGAAAATCCAAGCAAACTATAAAACAAACTAATATATATACAGAAAATAAGAAAAAACAATAATATAACAAAAATAAAACTAGCATCTAAATACCAAATAAAGCAATAGAGACGGAATGGACATTGGATCCGGCATCGATGAAGCACTAAAATGTCACTGACACAACATATGGAAACACAGGCAAAAAGATGGCTTTCATATAATTAACCAATTGTTGCTCGTTTCATTCATATTGAGCAGTTTTGACTAGATTATTGCTTCATTGATGAAACTCATTAAGGAGAAGCCTTCCAGTAGCTTGCTCAACGAGATACCCAAGCAGTCTCAGAGCCAATGCATATTTCTAGGGGCAATTGGATATGGATTGTTTCAGTTTCATCTTGCTGCATAAGTATTATTCTTGTGGACCTAGGATTGGATACTAACTTTGTCAAAAATAGAAAATAAAAATACTAAGGGTGTGCTCGTATATAAAATTACTCGATTCATACTCAATCCATACTCAAAATGTAACTCAACTCTAACTCAATTTCACTATCCTCAATATTACCAATATAATTAAAGAATATCAACCAATCATTCTTACACATCACATCAACTTTATTTCAATATTCATCCACTCACATAATTTTAACTAACCATCACTTCATATCATCTCTCTCCTACTTTTATATCAAATCAACTTTAAATATTTTATTTCAAATTTTATTTTGATATAAATCAAAATCCCACTAACAACTAATTAATACCACTTTTTTCAAAATTAACCGTTATTCAAAAAAACTCATTTTGAGCGGATATATTTGTATACAAGCTCGCCCCTAATAATCTATTCCTACTTTTTTCTCAATCTTATCAACAAACTGAATTATAAAAATTAAACACTGCCACGCATTTTTCAACAAAATTCAACATTCATCCACTCACAAATTTTAACTATCAATTATTATTTACCTATTTTAATATCTCATCAACTTTAATCATTGTATTTTCTCACATCCATTCAAAATCACAAAATCGTGTTACTTCCACCCATAAAGAATTTCTACTTTCTCAATCACTTATTCCACTAAGATAATTTTTTTTCCAAAATAATCTATATCCAACGCATATGTATGCGGATTTGGAGACAAAATCCCAACAGATTTTAAAGGAAAAATCTGAAATGTATAAACCCAAGTTCAATTTCCTTTAACATAATGACTATCAACGCACAGATAATAGACCACTTGACAAGTAATGTTCTATAGCAACTATAGCATGATTTACTCCAGATGTTGATATCATGGACCATACTGAACTTTTTTTAGGTTATGTTTGTGAATGGTGAGCTCATCTGACAAGACAAATGGTAACACAAATAGAGCTGAGAACTAACGTTGTAACCACAGCAGGTAGCCCTTCAGGGATGGCTGCAACAGCAAGAGCAACTGCAATCTGCAGAGGCAACCACAATCAAATTAAGAACCAATGAGCGAAATAAATAACACACAGAATTTATTTCGAAAAACATAAGAAAGTCAACACTGGAGGTAGTAATGAGGATAAGCTAGTGCACACTTGGTCACAAGTCTAACGTATTTAGAGTATATTCAATCATCCTCAAAAGGATTACCAAGTCAGATGGCATCTGATTAACTCGAAATAAAGGAATTGTATCTCCATATAATCATGATCTGGTTCAATATAGGTAACAAGAAAACTGAAGCTCAAATGAATAACAAGATAATTGTATTTACTAGTTGCAGTAGATGAAGACTGGGGCGTCAAAACAAACCAGGACAGGTACAGTATCATTTTTATTTTCTTTGTGAATGGGGATCACAAACGGTTTCTGATGATTCCATTACCGCTCACATGAATAAAAAACATACACAAACATATATGCATGTGTTACCTGGTGAGGAAAAAATAAGAAAAAGAAACGGGGAAAAGAGAGAGAGAGAGAGAGAACTTTAATTAGAGATAAATTAATCCTGATAGACACATTGCATATCTAGGCAACAGAACCACCATTTATGATCTTTCTGAGAAAGCATATACTACAAAATATTGTGAACAGACGATTCTTGGCAATTGTTAAGTTAAACACAATGAAGAAGCCTATTAGTAAGAGGAGATGAATACATCAAATCCTAAAGGAGTTCTGGAAAAGAAGAGTAGAAGGTTGGATAAAACACATCCATGTACCTTGAAATAATGTATTGCACCTTGCAAGAAGCCACCATGCGCAGGATCCCGAAAGTGACCAATGTTAACAACCCAAACCAAAATGCAAATTCCAGCAATGACCTGAATTGAATGAAGAATATTAGATTAAACGGCAGAATACATTCAAAGTCCATGACAAGAAACAGATGGTTTCAACATAAAAATTAGAAAATGTCAGTTAATTCACCTTAGCCAAGAAAGTACCGAATTCGTCCAGCTTCTTCTTTAGTGGTGTCACTTCCTGCAATACATAAGAAATTGAAGAGTTCTCAAATCTAATAGCTACATGTATGCCTGTTGACATACGCTAACAGCAGTATCCAGTTTTTATTCACTAGAAGCAAAAAAATAACTACTGTAAGCATAGATAATAAATATTATATTTGATATAGTCAATAACGCCAAATTTCAAGATGCTTGTTTGCAGTTTACAAGCAAATTAAGCAAACCGCTATGTACTACAGACCAGGTAGCCATCCACTATTACGCTCGATAGGAATAAAAGAATAAACTTGGTCATCAACCAAAAAATTGCTCAAAGTTCTTAAACAAGTGACACTCACATCTTCTGTATTCAGCATGGAGTCGCGTATGCTTCCCATTGCAGTATTGGAGCCAACACCAACAACAACTGCTCTTGCCCTTCCAGAAACCACAACTGTTCCCTGAAAGTTCAGTTAAGACAAATATCAACATTAAGGGCTCATAACTAGCAAAAACTAAGCAGCAACAATTAATTTTGGCCACCAACTTCTGCCAGAAACTTGCATATTTAAAATATACAGTTCTCCAAGCATCTTAATGTTTTCAAATTTTATAAGTAAAAGTAAACTTGTGTTAGCACAAAACTTCAATATGTTGTCACATTTTACACGTATATCCAAACCATTGGACCAAGATATATAAAATTATCATTTTTCTGGACACCTGAAATGGGATGCATTGAAAGAACAGCTTCAATATAATACCGAGAAAAGAATGTTTGTCTTGTCCTGGTATACTGCATTTGTAACATTAGTGGCATCCAGTTCTTTTTCCACAGAACAGCTCTCACCTATGATTGAACAACAAAAAATTGATTTATCAATCTACTTCAATCAGCAAAAATCGATCAGATAAGAAAAAATTACAAACCCAATAAAATATGTAAGTGTATCAGTAATAACATGAAGCGAACATGGCTACAGTAAAATAAATGTAAACTGCCAATTAGCAAACTTAAAAGCGTGAAGAAGGTGACAAATTTTGGTTAAGAAACAACTTACATATCTTCATAAGATTATGGCCAGATTATAGGAAGAGAATTAAATTAGAAACAGAACCAAATTCCCCGCCTTTATAACTAAAGTTGGGAATAATTCAACTACTATTTTTTTTGAAAAACAGCAGATCCTAGTGATTAAGTTTTAGTTCACAGAATCGAGTCGGGCTCAGAAAAGATAAAAATCAAAAGTACCAGTAAGAATAGCTTGATCGACACGTAATTGATCGCTCAGCATCTCTATCATCCTCATATCTGCCGGAACCTTGCAACCGACTATGCAATCAACATAAGAGATAAAATGTTATTAACTCAGTAAAAACATTACAGCTTTAGAAATTTGATACAAGCAATAGCCACTGACTGACATACCACTGACTTCCACAATATCTCCAGGGACAAGGTCAGTTGCTGGTAAGATTGAAAAAGAACCTATAACAAGTATGAATATGCTTAGTAAACTTATATATTTTGAGATATACCAGACAGCCAACATGATCTATCAATAAAGAACAATAAATACGGGGCATTGAGCATAATATCAAGCAAAATTACATAGTTTGGAGCAGAGGAAGTCACAATATTAAGCAATCTACAAGATTAATAAAGCGTGAATTCAACTTCAAACTATAAGACTAGGGTAGGCAATTCCGGCAACAACAGAAAACATGACAAAAACACAACATGGAGATAATGGGTTAATGTTGAACCTTCTTGTGTTCATTTTGTTATCGTGTCGATCCAATAGGGACACGAAAATTTCATGTCGAGTTCGTGTCAACCCAACAACGACCCAATAACTCGTATAAATGTATTTTTCTGTGTATCCAGTCGCATATTGTGTCATTGTGTACTAACTGGTTATCATATCTTTTTAATTTTACTTTTATTTTTACTTCTTTTGTCTTATTATTTTGAGTTCGTGTTGTATCGAAAAAAAACCTGACAAGATTAAACGATTTGCAACCTCTATGAGATTAGCCCCACTCCCCCTGCTTGACCCACATAAAGCATTATTAAAGGCAAATTACAGAAGTATCATTGTCTTCTCTATTACAAGCATAGATATAATAGCACTTTCTTTTTTAAAGTATAAGTATCAATCCATGCACTTTTAGGGCTTAAAAAGAAATTCCATAGTTGAAAATTCTACTTCAACTTTCATATACAGGATAAGAAATGTTAATTTCATTGTGACATGAAAATGAATATTACATTCTAACTGTATTTATATTTAAGTCAGTTGTAAGTAAAACATTCCCCTTATTGAGTAACTGCTACCCAGGGCTGAGTAAGTTCTTTATGTTATACACCCAAAAAGTGTGCAGTATTTCTCATTAAATACAGACCTAGACCTGTTGAAGTCTTGAAGACCTCAGTCCTGGTAACCATGTCAACCGAATAACATTTTCATATCTAAGCATTTATCATCAAACCCTTTAGTCGTGGTGATGTAAACCAGGTCACGTAAGAAAATTTTCAAAGTCTTATTAGAGCAATGCAGGACATGCCCAAAATTAATTTGGCTATGATATGAAACCTTCAAAAGTCTGAAATAACATAATACGACAAGCAAATATCATGAAAGGGAAAACGAGAGATTGGCCAACTTCAGATAGAGCAAGTGAAGAGTTAGGCATCAAACTACTGTTGATCAGTGATTGTTATCATAAATAAAATGAGCAATTTCAACAATTAAGAAATAGTTCTTGCTTTACCATTTCGCAGGACAGTTGCAACATCAGCTTGGTATGCACGTAATTCCTGCAAACCAAGGGAATGCAGATAAGCATCATGTAGTAAGTAATGCCTACGCATGTATATATTCATTCTACCATGCACGATCTTTAGAAATCAAACTGACCTCGAGGGCTTTCTCCGCATTTGTTTCTGTGATTACTCCAACAGCTGCATTTGCAGCCAGTATCATGAGGATAACCTGTGGTTCGGATATGGTAAACCGGTGAGACAAGTCAAGACTTGGTAAACAATGAATAATTGATGGTGCTGCTCTTTAACAAAATCAACAAACTAAAACTTTTAGACCTCCTTACCTATGTAAAAAAAAAAAAAAGGCAAAATGTTGAACAAGAAATTACCCAGATAATAGTTCAATTGTTATCTCTCAACTCTCAGACCATATGGAACAAGTGAATGATATATGAGGACCATTTTTGGGATAAAAAAGGACTTCCTCAAAGAAACTAGCAATTTCCTCCAAAATATCATTGTTCTCAAAAGCGGCATATACTGGTCACAATGCTCATATACAGTATCTTGTGTTGCCTACTACAAACAAAGAGTCTATCGATAGACCTGGAATGGCACCACTAGTCACCAGCCGGCGGATAAATCAACTAGAAAATTGAGGACATCAAACATTTGTTTTCCACAAGATAATCAAGTTTCTTATCAATAGAAAGCTATAATTTGAGACTGAAGAGTTTCTGACCATCCAATAAGTACTTGAACGCAAAATAAAAGCAACACAAGCATGGTCACAATAAAAATAGCCATTGCACATTCTTTCTGAAAACAGAGTCAACAAGTTGTTATCTTACTGAAGGCTCCACGAAGGCAGAAAGGCCTGTCTCTCCATTGGCCAAAGCCAAAAAGAAGGAGACCATAGCAGCAGCGATTAATATCTTTACGAGTAAATCATCAAACTGCTTCAACACCAATCTCCAAAAAGGAGTACCTGCAACAAGAAGAAACAGTAGCAATGTTAAAATCATTATCCAACAGAAGGGATAAAAATTATCTTGAAGCAGAAATAAAGAAACAGATGCACCAATACTACTCATAAAAATCAGGATTTGGTTATCTAACTGAAGTCCATAAACTAGTTTGTTTCTCTTACTAGATATGGTTTACTGAAATCGAAGGCAAGATACAAAATCAATGCATGAGCAACATCAATTGCTTTTATATGGTAGAATATAGTAGACATATATAGTTAAAAGCCTGAGATCGTGGCTTGCATTCCCGCATGTTTGCATGTGTGTGAGTGTGTACGCGCGCAAGGGTGTGGTGGGGGGCCAGGGGAGGGGTGGGTAAGTTTTTGTGTGTGTGTGTGTGTGTTAGTGTGTGTGTGTTTGGGTGCGAGTAAGTGTGTGTGTCTGTGTGTGTGAGAGAGAGAGAGAGGCTGGCTTACTTCGTTCTTGAGGAAGCACTGCAACCCAGCATTTTACATGCATTCGAGAAAAATGAGCAACACATTAGATTAAAAGCAGCAAACGTAAAAAAACAGAAGTCAACTAAATGAGAAGTACACAATATGAGAAGGACATTTATTATCTGTAGCATTACAAGCTTATATGACTGCTGAATATCAAAGATAACCACTATTCATCCAGGAAGCCAAACAAGTCAGAATATTGACTAACTATTCTGCTTGAAATCAGAAAAGTAGTAGTGCAGGAGACGATTATTCTTCTTTAGAGTTTTTTATTAGTGTGTCTAGTATTTACTTTCTCTTAGCAGCATAACAGCAATTGCCATATTACGACCCAAAAAGGAATGGAAGGTCCATGCGAGTTGGAACATATAATGTACAGCCAAGAGCAACTTTATTCCTAAACAATCCATAAATGGTGGATGTAATTTCCATGACCACTCATGCCCTTCGATTTTCCACAATATTTCATATGATGTTTTACCAAAATGTCCATTAAAATTATCCGGTTGTGGAATCTGAACCAAATAGCCACTGATTCAGCTGCCCATGCACAAGGAAGTCAAGATATTTGCTTCCGTATATTATGTGGAAAGGTTTTAAGATGTCGAGTAGCTTTTAACAGTGACGAAATGAAGACTTGTTTATAGAGAAGTCTAATTGAAAATCATAAGGGAGAAATAGAATCATGATTTGATTATATTTCTAAAACTTGAATTGAAAAATATCATTTCCAGGAAGAAGAAATCTCACCCGAAATCTAGGTTATCCAATCCACACCCCAGGGCTTCGCTCATGCAAAGCGTATCTTTTAAAATTTAAACTACCCTTGGCTATCAATTAAGAAAATACATCCACCACTTTAAATGGAAAAGCGATAGTGAGGAAAATTGTTATAACAATATGTCTTCAGGCTTTCATTTACCCTACTATAGATGATGCTGTATCTATATATGCTAAGCTAAATTTTCTGCAGTTTATCCTTCATTAACCATCCAAATGCCTCGGAAATACAATACTAACCGTTTTTCCCATACAATCTACCATGATTCGCGACCTGGAAAACAAATAAACAAATAAGCACGGGCCCCTTTAGTAGAATGCTTCTCATATCAACATTAGATTAGCGGAAAACGAAAATCTTGATTTGTGGAAATGCATCAGTAACCAAATAATGGGAATGTGTCGATCAGCCAATAGTAACAACTGTTTTACCTGTGAGTCTGTCAAGCCTCTCGTAGGATCCACACCAAAGAACTCCAAAACCTGTTCACATATTACAAATTCACACTAACTCCGAATGCCACCAACTTAAAATTGAGTCAAAATTACCAAATATTATGATAATACAATTTTAAACAACATTAACTCCAATCTAATGGTGTGCAATGCTCTGCTGATCTATAAAAACTAGCAAGAAATTATTAAAAAAGAAAAAAAAAACTCTAAAATATTGAGTACAAGCTGAAATTTGCTGCTTCAACTTAACGGAATGTGAGAAGATTTTACCTCGCTGACCGATCTAGCGTAAGCATTCTCCATTGTTTTCCCGACGTTTGAAACGATCACCACGAATTACTTGTTGATAATGTGATCATTTATTTCATTATTGCTGGGGAAACTAAAAAATTAAAGGAACGAAAATGTTAGAAAATTTGATTGATTGATCAAAGAGAAATTTAGGGTTTATGAGACGGAGATCAAATCAAAGTGATTGTGTGAATTTTTAGTGTAGTAGAGCCAAAGTGCATCCCTAGTATATCATGCGTCATTGCTACTCTGTCCGAAAGTTAATTTAGCTTCACATTTTCCAGAGGGTATATTATATGGTAATTAAGTTCATCGAGCTGGCATTGCTATAGGAAAGAAAAAATGAACCTACAGTCTTGCTAGTTTTTTTTTTTTTTTTCCAACAACAACAATCTTTATTTTATTAACTAAAAATACATCAAATACACAAAGTCGAGTAATCAACGGATTGCCAAGTTCCTAATAGACACAGCTATTACAAACCAATGAGGGATATCAATACCAATCCCCCTCCAACGACCCATCTAGTCAAATAAATACCTACCACACTAACATCAACACAATTACACAAACTGACATGAAAAAAACGAAGAACACATAGCTAATATATCCTTTACAACTACCTGAACTTCCACTGCAAAGCATGATGGATTCTTCAATCTATTGCACCATCTCTTATCCTTGAATGCAACCTCCACTTTATCCCAGCCTACTGTCACACATTTCCAAAGCCATGACCTCAACATTATTAATAACTCCTCCTCAGTCAACTGATTCTGCTGAGAAGTTATACCCCATGTATCCACTTCAGCTCCTAAAAAACCTTGGATAATAAGCTCATCAGATATTGAACATTTAGCAGTGACATCAGAGTTCTGATGCCTTACTCATATGTCCCCATCTACATTCCTATCTCCCTTTGCATCTGGACTATTTCTGCTACCCTCCTTCTGCAGCAATAGCACCTCATCATATTCTATCCATTCCAGCTTTGCCCTCTGCACAATATGATATTCATCTAATCTCTCTCCTCTAAATATCCAATTATTTCTTGTCCTCCAAAGCCACCATAAGATATAAGTAGATAGGCTTACTTTGTCCTTATAGTTTTGAGCTTTATTAATAGAACCGAGATCAACCCACCACTCTTGAAATTTTAATGCTTGCTTTCTTAATTGCTGCCATTCCAACCCTGCCAATTTCCAGGTCTTGATTGCTCTTTCACAGTAGAAGAATATATGCTCCATGGTTTCTGCTTCTTCACCACACCAACTGAAAATAACATCCTCTTCCATTCCTTTCCGCTTTAGCCTCACTTTTGTCCCTAAAAAATCATGCCAGCACCTCCATAGGAATGTTTTGATCTTCTGCTTGATAGGAAGTGCCCATGTTCTCTGCCACATTTTTCTGGTAATTCCTTTACTTCCCTAGGTTGATGCTTGTTCTGTTGCTCTTCACTGACCAGAAGCAGTGTAGTAAGACTTCAAAATATTCAAAAGAAGCTGAGCATGAGAGACATCTGCTTGGCACAGGATTAAAGAGTCATCTGGTGCTTTATCACGGTCCATATCAAATAAGGCTTGCTTAATCTCCCCTTCATCCACAGGTTTGCACACATGACTTAGAGTAATTTTTTTTTTTTTTTCTCAAAATGACGAGGATTGTTTTATCAATTGGGCAAAAAAAAATGGTTTTTAACTCAATTTTACTGTTGAAAGTGTGTGATTGTTTTCAACTTGGGCTATGTTTGCTTGAGTGGACATGATTAGACTAAATTTATCTCATTTAAGCCTATGTTTGTTTGGAAGATTAGACAAGATTAAGGGCTTAATATGGGTTTAGTCTTACATTTGTTTTCCATGACTGCGGCCCGCCCGATTAGATGAGACCCGCAACCCAGATGGAATTATCTTGAGTATTGTCGATTATTTGATCTCGGCTCGAGGGTGAGATTATTTTTCATCTGTACAGTATTTATATGACCAAACTACCAAATTACCCCGATAAAGTAAATAATCTTCCTCAATTACCCTTACAACTCTTCAAATTTACCTTCAAGAAAGGCATTAAATATTTAAATCGCACAATGATTTCCAGGCATGTCTTTCTACCTTGTAAATCACCGTGCCATGTAAATTGAATCTCAAACATCAAATTGGTGATTAAAAATTTTTCCAAGTTATGGGTATCTCGTTGAGGTCTTCAAATCAAGCAAGTGGTTCCACCCGCGCAAACTTGTTTCTCGTCAACGTCAAGAGGAGATGGATGAGCTGGTGGGCGTGGTGGTGGATGCGAATTGGCTGAGGAGGAGCATCTTAGCCGACATCGTGAGCGCCATCACCGTGTACTAGGCGGTGTTGTTCTTGGAGGCGATGGCGGAGACGTGATGCAAAATTGGTAAATGGGTTTGAGGAGCGCATAAGGTTTTCAATTTATGAAGATTTGGGGTTTCTTGATTTGGGAATTGGAATTAAGGTCAATTTTTTTTTTTTTTTTTTGGGGGGGGGGGAATTTTTTTATCGCCAATAGTGAATCTGATTACAGATCGAGGCTTAGGCTTATGAAGTAAAATTTCTTTCACCATGGAGATTAAGGATTAATTAGTTCTGAACAATCAAATTTAATGCATATATTAGCATATGTACACATTCTATCACGATTTGCTAATAATTTTTGCTTTCATGGTTTTGGTAAATTGTTGTGTCAAATTATACATAATCTTTGTTTTGCCAAATGAATGTAAGGGTAAAAATGCACATTTATGATTGTATCACATGTCTAGTCATACCCAACAAATGAAAGATTGAATTTATTCCCATATCTATCTCATTGTCCGTCTTGGTAAACAAACATAGAACCATTTTAGTCCAAACAGTACAATCTTACCTCTCCAAATTAAATTAATCTAATCCTATTTAGACAAACAAACATGCCCTAATAAGATTGCACTGTTAGGATTTCTTCCATCTCGTGTTTGTTAGCTTGATATGGTTTTGTTTGAATAAATATTGAAATTAGTGAAATGTCCAAAATGTACAATTAATATTTTATTCTCTTTCGTTCTTTCCTCTATCCTTCTTCACCATTTTCTTTTCATTTTTCATATGCACCTTATATTATGTCCATTTTTTTCTCTTTTCATTTATTTCTCTTTAGGTTGATAGTTTTAATTTTTCTCTCCCATTCTTTTCCTTTATCCTTTTTTTTCTTTATTTCTTCTTCAATGCTTCTATTCCAATCACAAAGCTCTCACCGAGAACTGTCAATTAAAGTGTAAGTTGCCCGATGGAGGCGGATTTTCGCCGTTGAAGATTCGAACAAGCGGTGGGATAGGGAAAACCAAATTTTGAGATTGAAGGTGTCTAGATCAATAATTTTTCTTGCTATAATAAAAAATTCTAGAAATTAAATATTCACACTCTCGTCATTTTTCTTGCTATAATAAACTTTCTTGTTTTTTAATGTGTACAAATTCTCGGGGCTACCTGGCGGATAGAGACGGTGACGGCCCTCCTTGGCGGCCGATGACTGGTGTTGTTGTGCCATGGGCGGGACGAGGAGGATATGAAATGAAAAAATTAAATGATAGAAGAAAATAGAATTGAAGCTCTTCTGCCTTAGATCCATGGTTGCAGGGGAGAAATCTATTTCTAGAGTTCAATAATTGAAAGATGAATTGAAGATGAAAGAGCCAGAAAAGATGAAAGAAGATAAAATTAATAACTATGGCAGCAAAGAAGAAAAAAAATGGCGAAAAAGAGTCCAGAAAAGATGAAAGAAGATGAAAAAAAGGGTGGGGGTGGGAGGTAAATTGGTCATTTCTTTATCCTGTAAATGTGGGATAAAAAATATCTCAACTCTAATTCAAGATTGAATTATCATACATACTCAAGATAAAGTTGTTTTAATCTCGGGCTCTGTCTAATCATACGGGCATGAAACTTGTAAACAAACGATGTATTGTGCCATGATTAGAAGCCTAATCCTATCTAATCTACCCTATCAAACACGACCAAAATGGGATATGATTGGGCCCACATATTTATTCCTGCCACTGCAAAAGTGTCTTTAACTCCACCAGCCCATCTGTAAAAAAATTGATTGTCGTCTACAACTTTTTTGACTCCTCTTGCTTATTTCAAATCCATGGAGCTGTCTCTGAAGTCGTACAACATATCATCTCAAATTTTTCCTCCATAAAAATTCCTCACCCACCTCCGTGATTGTATGGATCTCTTCCCACACCAAAATCAACCGGCAACAGAACGTGAAGAAGGCGCTGAAGGGAGGTCAGATCGGCGACCCGACGAAACGACAGAGAGCACCGGCAGCGTATCGGTCACATCTCCAAAAAAAAAAAAAAACGACTTCGGCCAACAAAGGTACACGATACTCCTCTTCAATTTGTAAAATTGAAACGTGCTTGAGGTCAATTATCTTTGCCTGCAAGATTGTGCTTGAGGTGCGCCAATTTTGAAACATGCTTGAGTTTATCTATTTGTTTTCGTAGCAAGATTATGGATGCACGACCGAAGATAAATATGAATATTTGGGAAAAAAAATTGTGTCGGATCTGTTCATCATGTTACATTAATTTTATGTTCTTTGTGTTACTTCATTTTTTTTTGGGGGGATTCTTATTCCGTCTCCATGTTGATGATGTTTTATAATTATTTTTGAGATTTAAGATTACTGGCATTGGGGTTTTTTAAAGTTGATAGTTTTGTAAACCAAAAATCATGTTCATTGTATATCGATTTTTGTTATTGTTAAGGGAAAGTTGGAGGTGCACTTCGTTGTACTTTCATTACTGAGGGCGTCTGTCTGTAGTTGTCGCCGTGTTCAATGTTGATGAAATATCTTGCCAGATTTTACTTCAATTGCAAGTACATGGCATTTTGTGTTGTTACCTTTTATTTTTAGGGGCATTTTGTGTTGTTACATTTTACTTGCAGTTAATCTTAAGACATGTGAAGAGTATCATACCACATTGTAGTTGGTTTGTTTATATCTCATAAATGTAGATGTCATATAACGGTGGTATTGGTACTTCAACTGATAATAGTCAAGGCGACGCGAAATGGCCTCCCGAAAATGAAGCCGCGTTTGTGAGTGTTTTGTTGGAAGAAGTCCAGTTGGGAAAACCGTGCGGCCGGTAAGTTCACACCGAATCAATGGGCGACCATTCTTGGAAAGTTGATAAAGCGGTGCCCTACTTTCTATCTTTATAAAGTCGCCCAACTGCACAGTAAGTACCAACGTATGAAAGTCTATTGGAGAAGGTTTCACAACATAGTTACCAACGCAACCGAATTGGGATGGAATGACACAAAAAAAATGATTGAAGGGACCGATGAATTGTGGACCAAATGGACAACAATAAGTATTTTTATAACATACAAATTATTTTGTAAAATTATTGATCTTTTGACTAGTGCTTTTTTTGTTGCTATTACTGTGGTTGTATATGTTAAATAGAATGATGAATTCATGAAAGTGATTTGCTATTAAATATGGATATATATGTTATTGTGAGTTGGTCCAGTAATAATTATTAATTTCCTTAGATATATATTTCATCACTTTTTAAGTTTTTATACGTTCTTTTGCTCTGTTCTTCTCATCTTGGTAAAATCCCGTTTTCAATGTCACGTGCACATGCAAATAAAAGGGATCATGACATGGAGAATAAGGTGTGCGTGCACTATGAAGCACTGACTACTATTTTTCACGGCACGGCTGCTACGGGGTTGACTGCGAGGGCATCAACTCAACGGGTGGTCGAGGGTCGAATCGTCGGTAGTGACCCATCCGGCAATGTCAGCCACGACTTTGTGGCGGAGGAAGATGACGACCCAATGGTCACCCCGACATCTCATGAACGGAATGGTAGGCAGAGGCGGTCCGTTCGCCCAAAGAGAGGCACTGAGTCTAGTTTTGACACGACCATGTATTTGGGGTCAGACTTAAATGTATCCCTTAAAGAAAGAAACAACAAACCCCCAAAGCTAACGACAATGAAACAAGCTATGTGCGACCTTCAAGCAATTTTGGATATGGATCTTGATCTTTTCCAATATGTGTGCAAGAAGGTTTGGGATCCCACCAATCGAGCGATGTTTGCGGCAATTACTAGTGACGAGAGACGTCGTATTATAATTAAAATGTGGATTGATGAGGGCCCCGGTGATCAGTGAAGGGGGATGTTGAAGAAAGTTTTTTATTGCTCTTTATTGCTTCTTAGACTTCTCTATCTTCCTATTTTCTTCAACTTTATTGCTCTTTATTGCTTCTTGGACTTCTCTATATTGCTATTTTCTTCATCTGTACTCTGTTTGACATTTCCAAGCTACATTTGTTGTTGCATGATTATTTTATAATTTGTTTGTGGACATTTGTATGTATGTTTTTAGCAAATACATTTATTTGTAGGATGTCTTATGTACACGATAGTGACTCACATAAGGAGGAGATGGATGATTTGCCCGACGACATTGATAGTGATTTGGAGCTGGTGGAAGACTATTATCCCTTGGAAACATCCTTAATGGTTGGGGCTCAATTTCAACAACTCGTAAACATTTTCTCGGCTTTCTCGTCCGCATTTCCCCCTTTAAGAAGAACCCCTACTGAGAATCCGCTTACACGGGTTTGGACTGTGTAAATGAACTGTTAGTTGGAAATCCACGGCGCTTTAAAGATGCAATGGGAATAAATCAATGTCGTTTTAGCTCCTATGTGATGAAATCAAATAGCGGCATTCCACAAAGAAACGAGACAACAAAGAATAGGCATAGAAGAAATTGTCGCCATTTTCTTGCATATAATAAAAGGTCATCAAAGGCAACGACGTACGGGCGAGACATTCAGACATTCGGGGGCGACAATTAGTTGTCATTGTCACAAAGTCGTCAATGCTCTATGTTACCTAGCCTCGCCCCCAAACTTCAACCGTATTGCACCGTGGATAAGAAATAATCGGAACTTATATCCCTACTTCAAGAATAATATATGACTTTATTTTTTAATATGTATAGTTATTATTTTAACATAAATTATTTTTATAGTTGAAATTGTAATTTCTAATGCTAGGATTGCATTGGCGCCATTGAAGGCACTATTATACCATCGTGGGTGCCCGAAGGACAGCAGGGTTCGCACAAATGTAGGAAAGGTTATGTAGCCCAAAATGTGATGTTGGCGTGTGATTTTGACTTGAAGTACACTTTCGTCCTAGCGTGCTGGGAAGGCAGCGCAAACAACGCACGTATTTTTAATCACACTATGTCAGACCCCAGATATAATTTCCCCTTTCCACCACCCGGTAATTCGATCAGTACACTTTTCATACATTTGTATTATTACGTAATTAAATCATAATCTGTTGTATCAATTTTTTCTAGAGTGCCTGTAACTTCACATCATCTGTTCATGCAGGTAAATTTTATGTGGTGGACTCCGGATACGCAAACATCCCAGGTTTCATGGCACCATATCATGGTGAAAGATATCATCTTCCAGAGTGGTTGGGATCTAACCAGTTGCCCAACAATGCTCGTGAGTTGTTTAACAGACGACATGCCACTATCCGTAATGTTATCGAACGCCACTTTGGTTTGCTAAAAGGGAAGTTTCCCATCATAAAGGGGTTGATGCCAAACTACAGAGTTCACTCACAAACCGACATTGTAATAGCTTGTTGTGTTCTACACAATTTTATTCGGATGCATGGACAGCTGGAAAACATGCCGCCTGAATTCAGGAATGCAGAGTACGTACGGCGACATGATCCTCGAGATCGTACTATACCTTTTATGTCCAATGATAGTAACGCGAACCCCAGCGTTTGTGAGCATTGTGTGTTGCGTGACACGATAGCCCAAACCATGTGGGCGAACCGAAGATAGAACATCGTTTGTATTAATGAAACCCGAACAGACCCACGCTTGCAATTAATGAAACCCAAGAACTTATTTGCGCGTGTAGTAGTATCAGGTTTAATTTAAAAATTGTTGTGTTGTTCGTAATTTTTAAAAAAATTTATGTTCTACTTATTGCAATTTGATTTACTTATTTATAAACAAATGTGTGTTTTTGTGATTGTATTATATACCAGTACGTACCTCGTGCAATGCACGTGATTAAATCAAAACTATTTTATTTCATAATATAACATTATTTTACTCATAAAAACAATTTCTAAACTCCAACTTGAACCTATTTTATTTTATTTTATAATATAACACAAGGTTTTAAATAGGGGACTAAAACGTTTGTGGCACTGTAGCTATAGCGGAGATTTAGCGGGATTTAGCGGCTAAATTGCACATGAATACAAATAGCGGCACGCTGCCAAAAAAAGTTATTTCTCAAATAGCGGCAACTTTAGCGAGCTATTTATTTCCTTGATATAACATTATGGTGGCATTTTTACTTTGCAGAATGAATAATAAAAAAGATAGCCTTGGTCTTTGTACGCCTTGGTTTAGATTCGATACCAACTCGAACTCTCCTTGAAAGGGAAACACTTACCGATCTCAGGGTCAAGATCAAGACTTTAACAAGAGGTGTGGTTGCTTTCGTCAGTTTGAGATTCACGGCATGAGTGACGCGTGTCAGAAAGGAAAAAAATGTGGTATGGGCAATCAACACGGGCCACATTATGGAGAGACGTGATTTTTTGCATTTGAATTCTTTTCTGTAAAAAAAAGTTCCCACTACAACTCATGCATTTTTGTCATCTTTTCTGTTAAAAAGGTTCCCACTTCTTTTCAGTATGGGCAATCTTTTTCTTTATAACTTTTTATTTCTAACTTTTTTTGTTTTTTCCATTTTGTTCATGCACATTCAGAGGAACCACATTCCGTATGGTATTTTGACTTTTAACGTGCAAATAAAATTATTGTGAATGAATTGGACTTTTAACATACTAAATTAAAATATAATAAACTACATTTAATCCCCTTTATGTTATCAAATCTAGAAAAAAAGACCCCTATAAGTAAAACAATTAATCTATTTCGCTTAATATTAAATATCATATTCTACGCTTATGCATATACATATCACCATATTATTTCTATTTATTTAAGATATATACTTTTGTACTTATGTAATAGTAAATCATATTAATATTTTTATATGATATAAACATAAAAATTCAACATGGGTTGACATTTTCATTTAATGTACGGGTGTTTAATTATTATGATAAAAAAATATACTTTGACAATTTAATTAAAACCCAAAGTATTGTTTTATATAAAATAAATTATTTTTAGTTTTTAAAAAAATTAAAAAATTTATAATATTTTGTACAAAAGCTTTCTAATTCAACACCCCTGAAATACACGAGTAGTAGTATAATTGAACACGTGTAAAAGAAAAGCCATATAATTGGCTCAATTTAATTGGAAAACCTGACAACATGAAATGTGATCATAATAGAACATAGTAGTATATTAAACTTGGTCTAAATTTCATTCCCAACTTATAATAGTAACTTAAAATAGTACATGTCTTTTGTACGCCAAATAGTCTCGTACGATTACACGTTCAAACATCCAATAGCCTTACCTTGAAAACTAGACACTCCTAGCCAATTAAAGTGAAACGCATGTCGCGGCCTCCACGATTCCACTTTGCTCCATAAATTCACGAGAATCACCATGTTCCATCAAGGTCTTCCCATGCGCTTGGATTATTGGAACATTGTATCGACCTCCTTTACACATCAAGATTGCTCTGCTAGTATCATTAACTTGGTCTTCGATATGCTACCTCCAAAAACTCATAGGAATGGCCTGCAATAGTAACACAATGTAAATTAACAGTTTGTTTCCTTCCATGTTGCTTCATTTCAAGTGTTCCGTGAAACGTACCAAACGTGCCCTTTGTACGTGCGTTTTCTTGATATCCACAAAGAAGCAATATTGTGGAGCTCGTTCAACAGAATTACAAGTGAACACTTTGACTACAAAGTCATAAAGAGTTGTGCGCTCGAAATACAAAATATATCCCCGTGAATATCTTCCGCTCGCACAAAATATTGCCAACCATCATGATATTGCAATTGATTTCTCACTTTTACCAACCAAACTTCATAACTACGGTGCTCCCTAGTAACTATTGTACAATTTACGGTGACATGATTTTCATACTGGTAGTAGATTGAATCGGGCAATGCCTGTACGAATACCACACGCATTTTGTGCGAAGGATTTAAATTCAAGTTAGCATTAAATTAAAACAAAAAAAAGCATGTACGTTCGAGCGGGCAACTTCATACCAAGGTCGGGCTGCTTGCATCCGTAATAATGGTAACGAACGGGTCAAACATATTTGCCATTTAAAAGTACCTGTAAAAAATATAAAGTGAAGCCATGTTTCATATGAAGTACCGTTTACAAAAAATTAATAAAATTAAATTAAAAATATCAAATTCTTTGAATTAATTGCATTTGTATTGAATAAAAAAAAATATGTTTGACATATATTAAGAATGATATTAATAGATTTACTACAATAATAAATTAGATATATATATATATTTATATATATATTTGACATATATTTTGAATTGCATATATGAATATTCTAACGTTACATATATACGTATTACATAGATTTAGCGCAATAATAATTTGCATATATACATTTAAGTTTAGCATATTCTTCCTCATCAAATAACACTTCATGTAAATTGTGAATTGTGATTCTCCGAGGACTTGGAATTGGGTGTTTGGGGTTTATGTTTGTTGCATTACGTCCAAAGAGTCTATCATCTCATTCTAAAGTGGCGGGCCCACACATATGACAAGTTACAAAAAAAATTTGGGTAACCGAAAGAAGCAGCCATCTTTATTACAAAATAATAATGAACATTTGGTAGAAAATTATAAAAAAGGCACAAAGTACAATGAATAGTAGTACTACAACAAATTTATGCCACTAATTACAACAATTTGTTTCTTTTTTTCTCTCTTTTTTTTTTTGATTTTCGGAGCAAACAAAGTCCAATTGTCATAAAACCAAAAAAAGAAAAAGTGCAACAAAAGAGGGCGGTGGAATCGAGGTTTAACCCACCGGGTGGAAAATTGAAGGAAACAAATTTTGTTGAGAAGAACAATCTCGGGGTGGCCAACACATATCCCATTCAACACAAATTTTTTTCTCCTTCCTGAGAACATCTCCACTCCACCGGTCCGTCCTTCGTACAACCATTGGTGAAACCGAAGAAGAAGACAGATTCATTGTCGTGAGAGGTAAGCTCGGGCAATTCACACTCATATGCTTTTAATTGATGTGTTCTCGGTATTATATTTTTTGGATTTTCTGTACGTTATTGTCGTCGCTAATTAGGGTGTCCACGTTTATGCCGTTCATTATTCTTGTTGTCGGAATTGTATACCGGTGTCCCTATTTTTTGTCATACATCGGTGTTCCTATTTTTTGTGATACATTTCACCCGGCCCCATATCGTATGTGTGTAGTCCTTTGTCGTTGCCTTTTGTGTTCAACTCTGTTCGAACTTGAACTTCTTTTTTTAACAATTTACAATATACTTGTAGATAACACGTAAGACAACATGTCCAAGCACTTTGAAAGGTTTTTCAAGTACATTAATATTGGTACGTTTGCGTATAATAACAATCATCGTGTTCATGTCCAATTTTCTAGACAAATTTTGGCTAATGTCACATAAATCGTGAAATTCGTTGTTTGTTACGTGCAACCCAGAAGCTTTCGGATGCTCTGAACCATCAATATAGCCACCTTATACACGTCTTGTGCACCCTTACCACCAGAAAGGGTCGAAGGTATAACGTCACAATGAGAGGTAATCTTTTCGGTTGGTTGTTGATGAATGATGGCTAGAATTTGTGCGTGCAGAGGACATTATGACCGACAATTGTCTGTGGTTCGACCGCACATCGTTAACCGATTTCGTCATCACAGTCCTCACGGATAATCAAGTTGAACGGGAGCTTCGACACCATTATACGCTGCAGATAACAAAAACCTATGTGGAACGTGCCTAGGGGTGTTCACGGTCCGGTTTTAACCGACAAAAACCGTCAATCCGGACCGCGGATTGGTTAAATGGTCGGTTAAAAAAGCTTTAAAAGATCCGGTGGTTAATTTTTTTAAAAATCCGGAATAACCGGTCCGGTTAACGGATTACCTACGGCAAACCGCCGGTTTAACCGGACTGGACCGGTAAATATTAAAAAACTATAACAAGTATATATATATATATGCATTCAGTCATTCACTATGGCCGACAAATACTATACATTCACTTTCACTTTTTGGCATTTTATTGACTTAATTTTGTAAGACACTATAACTTTTCACTTTTTCCCACGTTGTTTGGGTTTAGTTTGCATAATTTAATCTTCATCATTTTTGTATTTTTATGTTTATGGGACGAAATGTTTAGTTTTATGCTGGGACTAATTTATTCTTAATTTTTAGGCCCAAATAATATCTTTTGGGCCCAAAATTGAAAAATAAAAATTAAGCACAAAATGAAAAAAACAAAAAATGAAGACCCAAAACAAGGATTTTGGATCTAACCGGTTAGCCGCCAAACCGGACCATCCAATGCGGTCTGGATTGTGGCCGGTTAAATAATAAAATCGGTCCGGTTATGGACAAGAAAAAAAATTAACCGTTAGGTCCGGTCTGGTCATGGTTTGGGCTAAAACCGGACCAATCCGGACCGTGAACACCCCTAAACGTGCCCGCTTGGTAATTGTGTATTATATATAATCTCCGTTCAATTTATGTTTTTTTTTATTTCATTTCAAGCGCATACGTAATTAAAAGTACCCGGTATTACAGCCTATACCAGTTAGTTTTTGGCGATTTTATGTCCAAAATGTGCCTACCGACTTAAGTAGAG